CAGTTTGTTTTAGAGGAGAAGAAATCTCTGAGGATTATTTAGTTTACGCTCAAAACCTCCTGAAAGTCTGGATCTTAAATTATGAGAGAAATAAGGTAAGCAGATGTTAGCAGGTGCTAGGTTAGAGGCCCTTCTCTGACATGCCAAATAGCATTGTAGAAACACTGATTTGTGATGTGAAAATGCTTTTTTCAGTGATTTTACCAGTTTTAATCACCTTATCCATTTGTTTTGGAGAGGAGAAGACCTCTGTGGATAATTCGTCTCCTGACAAAAACCTCCTTAAAAATGAACACTAAACGATTTCTAACTAGGAAATGTTTCAGCTGATTGCAGTCTGCGATCCTCACCATTAGATGCCATCAAATCCCCCTAAATCTTTCACAATGGACCTTTGAGTTATGGTTTGAATTGTGGGGAATGCAGACTTTTCATATCCATCTTTTGTGCATCATCTCACAAAGACAATGTAACTTTCACAACAATATTAGTGAACAATGATCTCCACTGGTACTAAGTGTCATATGACAACCTGGTCTCATTCTACAAGTTGTCAAATACTGGCGCTTGGTCAGCAACTTCTGGTGTCAGACACCGATGAAAAAAGCTGTCCTTTCATGTCAACATGATATGCGGGTGGTCGCTGGTCAGGTGTCATGATCAGGTGGTCATGTTTGTTTGTTGTTGAAGGAAAAAAATGTTAATTTACATAGTGTGTTGTAATGACTTAGTACGTTTATTCTGAAAGAGAATTTACACAAACTGTACATTTCTTGTGAAAATAGAAGTGTATTTTGAAAACACACAATGCATGTAACAGAATGAAGTTGACATGGCGTCTCAGAACATCAATAACAAATGCACCCAGGGTAACTTGCATGTCATATGCAAGCATGGAAAGTGCATGACCAAACATCAATATGAGACAAGGGCGCATTGAGAATGTGTTGCATATGATCAGTGTTAATTAAATTCAACACTTAATTGGGAGTATGCACTGCAGTGGTTATTTTACCACTTGGGTTTTTATGAAGTAGAAAATATTCTAAAGAACTATTTTATTGATGTCATTTTTCTTTAACCTTTATTTAACCAGGCAAGTACAATTTTTTATTTACAATAGTGACCTAGCAAAAGGCAATGCTTCTTGGGTCAAGGATGTAGGGGCAAAAAAGAAATGTCAGAGTTTAAAAAGACAGCAGCACACATCCAGACATTTCCAACACACCCACTACTTACATACAGGCACAGCAAACATTATTTGTGACAATAATCATTACATAAATTACATGCAGACCAGCACACATGCATCATAGGCAGGTAGCTAGCAACAACAGCAACGGATTATACAACAAACAGGATAAGAGTAGGATATACAAACAGTAAGACAAACTGGCAAAACAAAGAAACAAAAAACCAGCAGCAACATGAAAGCAAGCAATTACATGGGACAACTGTAAGCAGCAGGCAGGCAAAGGTTAGGTGATATTTGTGGGTCAGGAAACACTGGGAGAAGGCTCAGAGCCAGACAGAGGCCCAGTGCAAAAAAAATTTCAGCGGAAACAATTCTTCTGCACCAGGCCGCAATTAAGGGGAACATGAATTTGAAATTACGACAATGTTGAAGCAAAGACATACAATTGTCTACCATCTGAAAAATCACTTAAATGGAGCAGTGCACCTTGGAGGTATGGTCTGAATATACTGTACGTAACATATTATTGAGGTTACAGTGTATTGTCTCCCGTTTCCCTTAGCCATTAAGCATGTGCTTCTGTGCACTGGGTGTGAGGTTGTCAGTTGCTGTAATTGTGAAAAGTTTGTCTTGCAGGTTACCTCATCTGGAAATGTGGCCACCAGTGCAGAGAAACCTCACATTTCCACTGCTTTTTTTATGAATTGAGTAATGTTTTTACTGACTTTAAAGACAGAGTAAATAAAAACTACATAAAGTTGATACCATCTGAATGTTTTTCCAGCCATTTATTAGTTGGGGGTTGTCTACAAGCCACCAATTGTATTCTCAACAAATATTTGTCGTTCCTCCATCACAGATCATCCAGCTCCATCCGCTCACAAATAAAGAACTTTATTTATCACTGACCAACATTCTACTTACAGTATGTAGCCTACTAAATGTTATGTTGCTTTTCTTCTAGGAATCACGTGGTGAAGCTTGGTGGTTGGTTCAGCTTAAGAATAAACTGATGAAATGAAATAAATTGTTAACTGTTCTTCTAAAATCACTAAATAAAAAGTATCAAAAAGAAATAAATTGTTAATTCTTGAGTCTGTTTTCTTTCTACAACTTTGGTACATTTGGAACATTGTGCCTTATTAGGAACTTGATTTGTCAGTGTACAATCTACACAGAATCTTGTGTCAATATTTTTTTCTGACCTTGAAGTAGTCTTCCGGACTAAAACCGGATTTATGGACTAATCTGATAGGATACAGAGTATGCTTAATTTTTCCCGCTGGATTGATATGCATTTTATGTTGATGCCCTTGCACCAAACTAATCTCTTTGGGACTGCTTTATTTGTATTTAATACCCCTGACTCCTGTCATCTTCTCATCCTGTCAGAATTTAAAATTTGTGAATTGGATCTGTGTGTTAAAATTTAAAGCTCAGTAGGAACCTTTCTGGGGTTTTTTTTGTTTTGTTTTTATTTTGTCTGAGACAATAAAGAAGAAATGCAAAAAGAAAACACGAGTTAGTAGTTGAATTTGGATGCAGGTCACTGTCTAAATCTGGTGAGTTGGGTGTATACCTCCATGTGCTTATTCACAGTGAAGAGCACAACCTGCACAGTCAAAACCAGTCACAGTTAAAACCTCCCATGACAACATCAGCATATTTAATCAGAAAAGTGTTTGCTAAATCAATAAAACTACTACCAAGCCATATGTTTCTGCATTATTTAATATCACTGAGTTATTCACTTAATACAGCATTCTCTCAAATGGGTGGCATGTATATATGTATATGTGTGTGTGTGTGTGTGTGTGTATGTGTGTCTGTGTCTGTGTGTCTGTGTTTTTAATTGATTTTGCCTTTATTTAAACAGGTACAATCAATTAAGAACCAATTCCCTTGATGACCTGGCCAAGAGGCATCCAAAAATACATTCCACATAAAATGACACATACAGCACAGATAGGCAACAGTGGGCTACAGTATGACAAACACACAGTATGATAGGCCAAGACCTAAGACATGACAAAACACATAGGTAAATAAATAGGTCAGAAATTAATAAACACTGTACAAAAGAAGGGGAATTATTGAATGTTCTTTGTGCAAATGTGATAGTAGAGAGAGAGCTGGTCAGGAGGTTCAGCAGTCACTAAGTTCTGTATGTAACGTTAAACAATTTCGATAATACAAGTACTTAATATAAATGCTAATACAACAAATATGAAATAGAGAACTGAATAGACTGAAATTGGCTAAATGATAGTAAAAGGATACTCCTTTGTAGTTTTTGTCTGATATAATTCTACATTTGCACATATTTTTATACATGACAGCATTTATGTATGTTCAAAATACGCAATTATGTAGTGTGGCGGCAGTAGCTCAGTCCATAGGGACTTGGGTTGGCAACCGAAGGGTCGCCCGTTCGAGTCCCCGTACGGACCAAAATATGAAGTGTGGACTGGTGGCTGGAGAGGTGCCAGTGCACCTCCTGCATGTGTGTGTCTTTCGGACCTGTGTGTAATTGACAAGCAAGAGTGAAAACATTGAATTTCCCCTCAGGGGGATTAATAAAAGTAAATAAACTAAACTAAAAAGTTTAAAAATAACAATGTGAAAATATTAAAAAGAACAATGTGAAATTTGACCGTGCAGCGAACAGGTGCAGCAAGCTTCCTAAATTCTGACTTGTCCTGGGTGTTGCAAGGTGATGTAGGCCAACTGGACATGGGCGGGGCTGGACGTTTGACGTCTAAACGGTAAAAAAAAAAAAAAAATGTTCCATTGGTACCATCCACAACTTTTTACAGTGGAAATGGAAAAAACGTGTTACAAACTGATCTGAACCATACTGGACTGCTTGGTGGAAACAAGGCTTTTGTTGTCTTTTTTTCTTCTTGAGAAGCATTTGTTTTACATATTATTATTATTATTATTATTGTTATTACACTAAGAATAGCTAACTTGATTGTTTTATGGCATTAAGTCAAGGCCAATGAACAGGTCTGCCCTGTGTTGCACATGCATATCAGACTAAATCAGGAAATACCATATTTGGATCTGTCTGTCAATAAAAAACACTCCACACCTCTAAAAACTCAACAGCCTACAGACAATAAAGATGATACAATGTGGGGGAAAAGCAACATGGAAGCAAATAACACTCACTGATGACATTTCTAAAAATTGATGAAAAGACCACTGTACAAATATACAATTTTGAGTTTCATGTGCCCTTGATTAAAACTTAAAAGACATGAAGGAGTGTAACTACACTCTGAGGTTGCAACTTAAACTTAAGTAAAGGGTCTGAAGTTTGGGTTAAGTTAACCAGTACAGACATGCAAAAACATATGGTAGGCCTAGTTCTAAGCGTGTGTTTACAACTAAAATACATCTGGAATTACTTAGTTGTGGATGCTTGGGACAGAGGCAGCTGGCTGAGCTGAAACACGCAGCAACTGAGACTGAGGTTTTTCCACTGCTTTAGGTTGTATAAGCCGACAGACAGCGGAGGGAACCCACAGCACACACTGATGGCTACAACAGTTGTTTCTGTAAAGTTATAATGAATGAAGAAATGAAAACACATTCCTGTTAAAATATTTAAAGTGAATCAGCAAACAACTATCTAAAGAGATCGGTCCAGGTATCATTGGATACTTAGTAATTCTCACGTTTGACCCACAGACTGCTGACAGTTTCACCCAGTTAATGTACGCCAGTGTCGTTTCTCTTGCGCCATAAACTGAAATGATAGGACTGTGGTTATTGAAACACCGCCTACTGCAGGGAAAAACGAAACCTATCAGTAGAATAAAAGCTTGTACGTAAGTTTGTAAGTTTCCCATTTGCATCAATCACACTTCCTGCAGCTCAGCAACTCTACGCAATTATTTTTTCGGACAATGGCTTTTCATCAGCAGTCACCGTTCTATAATCCAGTAAGTGGTTGAAACTTGTCTTTACTTTCCTGAAAATATGTGATGACTGATATGAGGGCTGGTCCTGTTCGGGGTTATTTCAGGTCCGTCCCGTTACTCGGAGGACTTACAGTAATAGGCTTGCTGAACCTCTTACGCTTGATCAAGATCTACTCTTCGATTCAATAATGTGTGAATAATTAAACTATCTCAACTTATCATTGCGTTTTGTACTTGTTCACAACCTGTTTATAAAAATACCTTATTAGCGAGCAGTATAGTGTACAAAGAAAGAGGCACTAACTGTTAGATATTATTTCCTGCCAGAGGAAAACATGCTGCAGCTTTGGCATGACACGACTGCCTTAGCAGCTGAAGTTAACTGTGTAAACACTTAATTGGTCATGTTTGTCGAATATACATGCAATATTTATGTGATTTATTCATTGATATATTGAGACAATAGCCTACGTCAGTGGAAACTTGAGCTGTCACTCTGGCTCACGCAATGACCGAGCAGTAAAACCTTCAGCAGGAAACATAGCAGTTATTTTAGAGCTCCTCCTTAACTTCTCAAATGAGGCTTTTTGTCTCTCTGAGCGCATTGACGTCTGCGCGTACATGTGTATGCTACCCTCTGATTGGTGTACAGTAAATATTGTGTATTTCGAACCCTAGCCACAGTCATGATGATGAGATGTGATGTTCTGAAAAGTACAGGAATACATCATCTGTCAAAAGAATTAAAGATTTTTTTCCAAATATTGAATAAATACCTTCATGCTGACAAAGGGACAAACACATTTGTCAAAAGAGCAACATTTGAATCAGGGGCAGATTATGAGACAATGTGCCCTGGAGCACTGCTGCAAAGGGCCCCACCACCTCTTCTACAGAAGAGCAAGAGACATATCTTTGTGGTGGTTTTGCATTTGTTTGTTGTCGTTATGCATCTTTTTGTGGTTTTGTGTCTTTTTGTGGCTGTTTTGTGTCTCTTCAATGTCATTTTGCGTCTCCTTGTAGTTGCTCTGTGTCTCTTTGTAGTCACCATGTGTCTCTTTGTGGTTGTTTTGTGTCTCCTTGTGGTTGCTTTGTGTCTCCTTGTGGTTGCTCTGTGTCTCTTTGTACTCACTGTGTGTCTCCTTGTGGTTGTTTTGTGTCTCTTTGTAGTCACTGTGTGTCTCCTTGTGGTTGTTTTGTGTCTCCTTGTGGTTGTTTTTTTGTCTCATTGTTGTCATTTTGTGTCTCCTTGTGGTTGCTTTGTGTCTCCTTGTGGTTGTTTTGTGTCTCCTTGTGGTTGCTCTGTGTCTCCTTGTGGTTGCTTTGTGTCTCCTTATGGTTGTTTTGTGTCTCTTTGTAGTCACTGTGTGTCTCCTTGTGGTTGCTTTGTGTCTCCTTGTGGTTGTTTTGTGTCTTCTTGTGGTTGTTTTTTTGTCTCATTGTTGTCATTTTGTGTCTCCTTGTGGCTGTTTTGTGTCTCCTTGTGGTTGTTTTGTGTCTCCTTGTGGTTGTTTTTTTGTCTCATTGTCGTCATTTTGTGTCTCCTTGTGGTTGTTTTGTGTCTCTTCATAGTCACTGTGTGTCTCTTTGTGGCTGTTTTGTGTCTCCTTGTGGTTGCTTTGTGTTTCCTTGTGGATGTTTTGTGTCTCTTTGTAGTCACTTTGTGTCTCTTTGTTGTTGTTTTGTGTCTCCTTGTGGTTGTTTTGTGTCTCTTTGTAGTCATTCTGTGTCTTTTTGCAGTTCCTTGGCATCTGTTTGTGGTCTTTTTGTGTCTTTCTGTGGTAATTTTGAGTCTTCCTGGTCGGTTGCCTACTTGGTAATTTGAGTGACACTATGCAAGTGAAGGCCAGGAGGCCCCCCTGACACTCTGGACCTGTGCCTGGTCGGCCTGTTGAGAAAACTATGAGAATCATGAAACTAATAATGATTCAGTAATAACAGTATATAACATAATAATGTAATGATATTAAAACATACAAAAATAAAACCAAATGCAGATATGTGCAAAACATTAAAGATATTTAAAAATAAGAAAAATACAAAGTTGTTTAGGAACATGTAGCATTTAGGAACCGCTGCCGTATGGTCTATAAGCAGCAGCTAAGCTGACCAGAGTCATAAGGAGCTCTGTGTATCTGTAACCTGCAATTACCTGCGATTTTATAAAATTAACGTGGCTGATAACTCAGTATTACACTTGGCTGCCGCACAAGTTAGTTTTTAATGAAAATCTTTATGATGTTCTGTGTTTGTACAGGTGCACCTAAACAAGAATACAGGTAACCTCAGTTAGGCTTAGGCTACTCAATGTACAGAAGAACCATGCTGATCCATTTTATCCTGTAGGAAACCTTTACAGATCTCACCATTTAAGGAATACTGTGATGGATTAAAATGGACAGGGGCAACACACACACACTTGATTTACTTTCTTTACTTTGCTAATAATTACATGTATATTAACAGATAAAATGAAAAGCAGCTATTTACCTGTTAAGTCCTGTTCTTTGCAGAGAATTCCCTTCACTGGATCAATCCATGGTGGTCTGCAGGAGGGAAAGTCCATCAACATCAGTGGACGAGTCCTGCCTGGAGCCGATAGGTCAGACTGCTTTTTCCATCATTTCATCTCTTAGCTGTTAGTCCTGTTTGGTGGCAGTGAAATACAAAATGTAACATTTCATAAAACATTTTAATAAAACATATAAAAATATATTAATCTGCCAGAAAAATAATTAGCAAGAGAAATATATATCTATATAGTCCCACTTTTATTATCATCAGTGGTAAACTCTGTATGCTGGGCCACTCTAACATTTCTGCCAATTGAGTAGGCCTAATCTATAACATCTTTCCCAATTAATTGTCTGTGGAGCAGCTCCAGACTTTGTACCTGATGACATTATAGATTTGAAATTTAGCTCTCTAATTTTTAGACTTGGAAGAGAGTCTTCTTCCCCCAGAACATTTGCAACACTGTTGACGAGACAATCCAAAGTCATTAACTCACTTGTTCTGGAGTTTATCACTGTGTCATACAGTCTTCACATGGTGTTTGCTCAGTTGCACATGCATGTGAACAAACCCATGCTTTTGTACACATGTGCTTTCATTATGTATAAATAACAGGGTTCCACTCATGAAAGCATTGCTCCATAGTGCCATCAGTGGACAAAACTCCATAGGTTCTCTTAAGAGCATTTGGGACTATTGGGGCAGTTGTGGCTCAGAGGTACAGCAGGTCATCCACAAATTGGAAGATCAACGGTTCAATCCCCAGCTCCTCCAGTCTGCATGTCGAAGTATCCTTAAGCAAGATACTGAACCCCAAATTGCTCCCGATGGCTGTTCCACTGGTGTGTGAGTTTGTTAAAAACTGAGTAGCAGGTGGCCCTGCTAATCAGTGTTTGAATGTGTGTGTGTGAATGGGTGAATGTGACTGGTCAGATGACTAGAGAGGCACTATAGGAGTGTAGGTCCATTTACCATTTATTCTTTGGATATCTGGCCTTTTGAAGCCATATTTTGGACTTTATAAAACGAAAAATAATGACAGTTTCTTGTACACCATGAAATGATTATGTATTTTTTCTCCAGGTTCCATGTGAATTTGCAGTGTGGTTCCAGGACCAATGCAGACATCGCTCTCCACATTAACCCACGCTATGACAGCTGCCCTGGTTATGTGGTTGCCAACACCTTTCAGTATGGCAGCTGGGGCACTGAAGAGAGGAAGCACAACTCACCCTTTCCTGCTGGCTCTCCCTTCAGCCTCAGCATCACAGTCTCCCGTGATTTCTACCAGGTCTGTGGGGCAATCTGAAAATGATCTTCTTAATTTGGTCTGACTAACATTCTGACAGAGAAATTAAATTCAGTCAGATTTTATTTCACTACTGACAAATCCTATGTCTCTTTGGGGACCATTTTTTTTCCTTTTGCCTGCAAATAAATATTATTTTGTACAGAAAATATTAGCATCAAAGAATATTTTAATTTAAGTAAACAAAAACATAATAACTTCTCAAGTTTCCTTGCATTGTCCCTTAAACTAAGAGTTTGACAATGAGCCACAATTTCTGCCAATCAGAGAACTGGAGTCGTCATTTTCTGAGTTACACTCTTAAAACCGATTGCTCATAGGATTATTTGTTTCTTGGAAAGTGGGGAAGCAATCCAAGATTTTGACTGGATGGAGTAGAATTAGAACACCCTTTTCAGGCTGCTATTTTTTATACAAAAGATTTTTATTTAAAAAAAATGTGCATTGTATGTCCCCTGTTTGTTTTGTTTGTAGTTTGTCATCCAATTATAAGGAAATGTCTTTAAAAAAACATATATGTGCATGAAAACAATATTTTTCTGTGCTCAGAAATGAGACAGAAATAAAATACCATATTTTCTCTCTCCAGCTGAACGCCAATGGCAGCCACTTCATGGAGTACAGACACCGTATCCCATTTCAGCAGGTGGACACCATCTCAGTAGGCGGGAAAGTAGAAATTTCCTCCATAGCCTTCCAGGACTCTATGGTGAGGATGCCACTAGAATTAGGAACAGCATTAATTGTGTTTCATGTGCTTAATGTCAGTGCTCTCACTAAAAATAACCCCAAACCTAATAAATAAATCAACATGTAGAGTATATGAAGAGTATTACAGAAAGGTAAGTGATATTAAAGTGGTTTCCTTTTGTGTTTGGTTTCTTGGACAGCCGGCATTTCCTGCTCAGCCTGCGTTTCCTTCACATGTAGCCTTTCCAACCCAGGCTGCTTTCCCTTCTTTTCCGGGGTTTCCATCACAGCCTGGATTTCCAGCCCAGCCTGGATTTCCAGCCCAGCCTGGATTTCCAGCCCAGCCTGGATTTCCAGCCCAGCCTGGATTTCCTCCTGCAATGCCTGTGAGTATTAGGAAGGGTAGAGCCACAGTTCTGCAGACATTTTACAGAGCTGCTCTTGAGCAGCAAAAACCTTATTGGTTAAGTTTAAGGGTTAGATAGCACAACTTTGCAAAACAAACAAATCTCTTTTCCACTTAAACATTGTGCTGCTGACCCATGTAGACAGTTTTGGTTTCATTTGTTGAGATTTAGAGCTATTGTGTCTGATTTCTGCCTCCATTCCGATACAATGGAGGTGAATGGAATTTAATTTATGTAGTAAAATAGGAAATATTTAGATGTAAGATTTTATGCATACTAGTAGTCTGGGTTGGCTTGTTAGCCAGCCAAGTTTTTGAATTTAAATTAGCCATTTCAGCTTATGTTTACATCATAGACTGTATAAAATAATGGATGTCGACACCATGATGTCACCCACTGGACTTTCTGGACTCCCATTTTGAAGCCTTGAGTTTTGCATTTTGGCTGTCGCCATCTTAGGTTTTTGTGGAGCCAGAAGAGACCATATTTGAATAAGAGGATGGAGATAAACATGACATTAGCTGCTAGCTTGGTTAGCATGGTGCATTTACAGCTATGGTTAACTAAGATGATGTTAATGCAAATTTTTTGCCAGCAAAAAAAAAATAAGGCTTAAAATCATTAAAACAAAATGTGCTTACCATGAAGTGAACTCTGGGACTCCTTAGGGGGTCTTTTCACACAACCAAATGCTAAACAATTTTTTTAGTGACCAAAACATTACTTTAGACTGATGTCACACAGAGAGCTTTGTATTTTTGCTGTCTCTGTTTGTTGTGTGTTTAATAACCCAATGATGATTTTGTCCCCCTGTGTTTGCACGTGGGAATGGGATTGGTTGTGGAGAAACGACCACTCCCTATTTAAGATGGCTTCTTATGAACAAAAAACTGTTTGCCTGATGAAGGTCTAGTACCGAAACGTTGCAAATAAAGTTACAAGTTAGACAGCGTGCGGGAGTCCTTTTGCAACTTTTTGGTCTTCTCTCTCCAATGCACCTGTATTGTTTAATAGATGTGCGAAGTGTTTCCTTTGTTAGCGACCAAACACATTACAGTACAATTAACTTTCATGAACTGAAAGCATACTGAAATAGCAACAGCTATGGCAACACCTATGCTCTGTAAATCTGGGGCTACGCCATGGTGAAGTTAACTAACCAGCATTGTTGTTGTGGTAGTGACTTGGATGGCAACCACTTGTCACTCAAAGCAGTCACACCCCATGTACAGTTGTCGTAAATGTTGAAATTAGCTAGAGACCAAAAATGTTTTTGTACCAGGCTGTAAACATGTTTATTTCTGTTGTAAAGTTGGGCATTTTAACATGGGGGTCTGTGGAGATTGACTCACTCTTGGAGCTAGACTCAAGTAGCAATAAGAGGAACTGCAGTTTTTGGCACTTCTGCCATGGCTTCATTTTTCAGTCCTGGAGGTTACTGCTTGGTTTACATACAGTTAAAAAGCCTATTAGCCCATCGGCTGTCTCTGCATAGCTGTGCCTCAAATTTATACAACAGATTAAATTTGTACAGCACTACATACAGTAATTGTCAAAGTATAGTGTTTTAGTAGTTATTATACAAAATAATCAACAGGAAATTATACAATACATTGAGTAACAGATGTCAATCAAACTGGGACTTTGGATAGTCACCACCAGTTAGGCTCCACAAAGAGACAATAAAATGTCTATTTTTACCTTTCTGGAGCTGTGTAACCACTTCCCACTATTTGCTTAGAATAGTAACAGCCATGAGCCACTCCATTTCCTTCATGCATTGCAATATGGGAGATTATTGTTCATTCACATTCAGAAAGCAACAGTTTCTAGAGTGCATACTATGTGGTTTGAATATAGGCCTACTTAATTTTGTCACTTTCACAGCATCAACACACTACATACTCAAAACCTGCTTAGAATTTGTGTTTGGCATGGATTTGGGACACTGAAGAGCACAAGGTCAGGTACCCATAACCCTACAAAGAGCATATGGTTCAAGTTGGCCACACTGGACACTTCTTAGAGACAAGGGAGACATGATATTGCTTAAATATGGAAATAAAAGCACACATTTTAAGAAAGACAAGGCATTCATATTCTTGCACTCATTTGTTTACATTAAAAGTAACAGAAATAGTTGTGTTAAGGATGAAAACAGAGAGAGAGATTCATACCTCAGCCCCTGTCTCTACTCCACAAAGTTGACCGATGAAAGCATGAAGTATGTGACAATTTAGGAATGTTGGTTTTAGAAAGTTACAGAAATTGAAGCTACTGTATTTGACCAACTGACAAGCACTTCTGAAGAAGAAGCATACCTCCTCTAAGAAGAATGCATTTACAAGGCAGCCAGCCAAGAATAAACTTATATTATGCAGTATATTAACACTTCCTGGAGAGGGTGTCAGCAGCACGTGGTACATTCCAGGTTGCATTCCTGCAGAAGCAAACTCTAGAGCATTATACACTGGTGTAAGGTAGATCTTTGAATAAATCTAGCAAATCTATAAATTAACAATACTCTTTGTTAATTTAACTTGATTAAAACAATAATGGATTATGAGTATATTTGTGTAATTAATTTTCCTATTCCATCTCTGTACAGGCTGTTCCATACAAGAGCAGCATCAGTGGTGGACTTAAACATGGCAGGACCATCACTATCCAGGGGACTGTTAAGCCCAATGCCACAAGGTCAGACTTCATCAGCAATTGCTGGATTTCACTTTGAAACCAACATTGTAGAAATCAAACACCATATCACTCTGCCTCGAGACTGAGGACTGTGTCTGCAGAGTAGCTGAGAAAATAAGGAATAAAATTAACCCAGTAAAAGACAGAAATAACAATATAGACTAACAAGAGGTGAAACTGCCTGTTGTAAATTTAGCTAGAATATCAATTGGCACACTCTGCATGACGGAGTCCATTCCTGCTGCCCTTACCTACAGAGACCATATATCTGCCCCTAGATGATACACCTAATAGATTTTACATCTGTGCCCAGACTCTGCATCTACCCATAGAATGTACATTTGGTCCTAGAGCATACATCTGCTCGTAGTCCATACATCTGATCCCGGATTGTACAACTGGCCTAAGACTCTACATCTGTGTATAGACTGTACACCTACCCTTAGATTATACATCTGATCGTAGACCATACATCTGCCTCTAGACCGTACACCTAACACATGATTCTAGATCTGTGCCTAGACTCTACAGCTACCCATATAATGTATATCTGGTCCTAAACTGTACATCTGATGCTAGACCATACATATGATCCTGGATTGTACAACTGGCCTATGACTCTATATCTACCCATAGAACATACATCTGGTCCCAGACCATACATCAGCACCTAGACCTTATATTTGGTCTTAGACTCTCCATCTTCCCCATCTAGACCATACAAGTGGCCCTAAACTCTACATCTGCGCACTGACCTTACATCTGCCCCTAGACTGTGCCACTGACCCAAAACTCCACATCTGTGACTAGACTCTTCGTTTACCCCTAGACTGCATATCTGGTCCTAGACCATAAATCTGTGCATAGACCATACATCTGGTCCTATTGAACTTTTATTTTAAGGTTTACAATGATTATCCCACTGAAAATATAAATTGTCACTTGAAAATAATCAGTTAAGTCCTCAGACTATATCCTTAGTCACAGGACAAGACTAGACAACCATATAGACTTTTATGGGCATGGAATGAATTCCTCTGTGATTGTCTTAGTGGATGCTGGTGAGTTATATGATTGGGTTGTAGAGGTCTTAATGTGAAATCCTATATACTGATATCTCAAAATGAACTAAGTAAACTGAACCATCAGAATACTGCTGCAATCTCTATAGAAAAAGGAAGTAGTTACTGTGAATCTAGTCACATGAGATGTGACAATTTCTCCTCTGTTGCAGTAGGAATCACAAGACAGCATGCTGTTCTGATACAAGAGCAGTCTCTCTGTAGTTATCACTTAGCACATAGTCATGTAGCCAAAGTTTAAGTTTAAGCCTTTTCCTGCATATTGTGAGCTGAAACTATACTGTACAGCAGAGTTCCTCCTTTCGCAACACCTTGTGATATGGTATGCACTGTTGAACCTCCTCATTGACTGCAACTTCAGTATGTTGAGTTATGAAGCAAATTAAATACTAGCTAGGCTTCAAGACATACATACAGTACAGATGTCAATATAGACATACAATACATAATGTAGGATGAAGATGGTCTGACATGGTGATGTTTTGTATTTAACCTGCATAAACCTCAGTTGGTGGTAGATGTGGTTAACCCTTCTCATCTCAGGACTGACTGAGTCTATGCCTTTTGTTCAGTTTTTCTGTGGCAGGGTTTGGTCTCCAAACAGCAGGTGACAGTTGTTTCCTCATTCTAATAACAAGTGTTGCCAGTTTTTCAACTTCTACTAAAGTTACTGCCCAGACAAGGAAATTCTCAGACTCACAGGAGGTATCCCTTCTATGTGTGCAGTTTATAACATGTGTCTGACAAGAACTTCAGAAACAAGTATTTTGTTTTGTTCAGGTATTTAATTAGCCAGATTGGCCCAAAGCAGAAATTTCAGTTTGGTTATTTTATCCATAAACATTTTCTCAACAGATTACAGAAATATATTTTAGGCATAGATAGATTTGCAGCAGGAAACTACACCAGTGTCCCGAGATAGGCCACAGCCCATTAGGCCCAGCAGACATATTTACAGTACATTTCATACAGTTCAAAACAAGCTGTTTAAAGGGCCACTCTGGTGATTTCAAATTACACTTCAATAAAGTTTGGGGATTCACAAGAGACAGTTAGATAAAATAATGGTCAAAATTAAAGCAGCCAAGCTGAAGACATTTTGAATTTTAGTCCCTAGTTTGGACTTCGGGCTTTAAAAGCACTGGATTCTACACTCCCCATAATGCAGCACAACTTAGTGTTTTCATTAGACCCTCCCTACCTGGTAAAACTAACATATTTCCAACTGATGTTTCCACATTGTAATGCAGGTTTTCTGTCAAAAATGCTGCAGTCTAAGATGACTGAATTTCATCATCAGGAACATTTTCTCAGACTTGAAAATGAGGATGTTTCACCAGGGAAGTAATGGTTCCCAGGACAGGTGACCTGGCCTTTATCTGTAAAATCAGTGCAGTTTAAGTCTATGAAAACAGTCATGCAGGAAGTCCAGTGCCATGTTGTTCTCAATGTTTCCTCTGTTTCCTCTCAGGTTTGTTGTGAATCTCAACCATCAATCTGGCATCGCTCTGCATTACAATCCACGTTTCAATGAGAACTGTGTGGTTCGAAACACCAAGCAGTGGGAGCAGTGGGGCACTGAGGAGCGTGGTGGTGGGATGCCCTTCCGTCGGGGACAGCCTTTCACGGTACCACTGCAAACACTTCACTGATTGCACACGTTGACAAGGTGGATGTGGAATGTCCCTGGTATTGGGCCTGTGTTTAACAGTTTGTATAGTCATTGTATCTCCATCACTTGAGTTAAGTGCATCATTAAACAAGCATGTACAGTAGTTTGTAAATTTCAGGCCATTTAAAAAAATATAATGACGTTCAGTCTCTGAATTCTGTGATTGAAATGAACATAGTCATTTTGAGAATTCATAATTCTGAGCATAAGGTCACTCATGAATTCAATCTCAAAATTCTGAGCACAAAGTAAAAAAATCTGACTCAATACATTTAGAATTCTGACCTTCTCTTTTTTTCCTCTGCTGTAGGCTAAATGTCACTGTGATGCACTAAAAGAGGAAATCATAAATACAATAATGTCCTTAATGCAGAAGCTTTTGTGTTTTTGCTGCTTTCGTTAAGCTGGCAGCATTATTGAACAGATATCTCTAGCAGATATATTATACCATCTTGAAAGAAGACTATATGAATGTAGTAGTCTTTTTCATCAATATTCCAAGTTTCAGTTAGAGAGACTATATTTTTTGTGCTCCACTGCTTCCCAGACTTGAGCCAGGCATGTCTATGTATGAGGCCTTGGTGACTCCTAGTGGTAATATAAAAAAAACCACAGGTTTGTTAGTTTTACTGCTACCATGGAGGCTATTCAAAATATGTGTTTGCAAAATGCCCTTTTGTCTTTCAGCTGACCATCTGCTGTGAGAATCAGTCCTTCAGGATTGTGGCCAATGGGATGCAGGCACACACCTATAAGCATCGTTTCACTCCCATCCAACACATTACCACCCTGGAGATAGATGGTGACATCACTCTGACCTCTGTGATGGTGTAGAGGTCCAGGACCTGTGGCTGCTCTTGACATCTTACTTGCAGCATGGTTTTCCTGACAACAACCATTGCATTTATTGATAAATTAATGCAGATTGATCACTTTTGGGTATTTACTGAATATTGTATATTTACTTCCTGCATATTCATTCTACAAATTATTATTCTCGTTTTTATATTTTCATACTCTACACACCTCCTGAAAACATATCAGGTCCAGTCAGTTCATGAGAGAGGTTCATTCTGTTTGAACTGAGTAGTCAGCATGTAGGAGATAAGGAGACAAATTTAGAAAACAAAATAAAAACAAACATTAATAACTTCTGGATTTCACTGATATCAGACTAAATGCATGAATGCGCCTAACAAAGTTAATATGGCCAATGGTGGATTTGTCAACAGTTCCATCTCTAAAAAAATTAAAACTGTTGTGAAATACTATTGCGTCTTAATTTTGTAATCATTTAAGTCTGTGAAACATTTCAATTAAAATATATTGTAACAACATGTGTTATGGTTTGATGAAATCTTTTCTGCTGGAACTTGATAGGCAAGAAAATAATAAAACTGATCTGTAAATACCTTATGATGCACTGCAACTACACTAGAAATGAATATATTTTCCTCTGTCTATTTTTTTTCTTTCAGCAATTTTAATGCAGCTTGTAAGAATGTAATTTACTTTTCAACAGGAGATGAGTTCCTAACCTGTGTGCAATATAATAATCTTGTTTTGTCACTGACTATGTTTATCATAAACTTAAACTATATGTTATCTTAAACTCTCTTTGGGGCGAGTTATGACAGCCTAAGATTATATCAGAGGTGGAAAGTAACTAATTACATTTACTGACGTTACTGTAATTGAGTAGTTTTTTGTGTGATTTGTAATTTTTTCAATAATTTTTGAAATCTGTAACTTTACTTTTACTTATGTTAATTTTGACTGAAGTATTGTACTTTGCTACATTTGAAATCACATCCGTTACTAAGTAAAAAAAAAAAAAAAAAAGTTTTCGGCTAAATGGAAACCAAAAGGGTGAATCTCGGAAATCTCGCGTGGAATTGACCCAGAACAAGCGGCCGGTGCCGGCGAGTTACTGGAGAGAGAGATGGAGGAGGGTGGGAGTGCTTCGGCAGAAGCACAAGCAGACGCAGCAGTTGAAATGAACGAAGAAACGAACGAAACGAAAGAAAACCCCGTGTGCACAGTGCCGTTTATAACTGTCGTCAGAAAAATGCGGCCCGAGCCGCGCGCTTGTGTGCTCACAAGTGTGTGTGTGCGCGCGCATCGGGGCCGAACTCCGCCTTGCGCTATACAGAGAGCAGAGAAGGTTTGTAAAGGTGCGACCATGTAGAGACAGAAATTACATGCCATCGTGTAAACAATATAAGTCATCATTATATTGGAATACACAGTATTCTTCCAAATCAGTGTTAGTGTATTTTAATATTCAGAATTTCGCTTCGACAAGCTCTCTCTTTTTTGACAATAGACCTGTTGGCATCCCTGAGAATAATGCCCAACAGTATTGCTCAAAAAGTCGCTCTGTGTATCATCAGTCTAACAGTTGTGTATCAAAATGAATGAGGGCTGCGCAATATTAGACAAAACTGACAATGCGAGGATTTTGTATACTGCGATATGTATTGCAATATACAGTGTATTGCAATAACTAGAATAGCTCTATTTGGAAAGAAGTCATCATTTGGGATTTGGAAAGGCTGCATTTGCATGAAATATACATTTTACAATCAAACTGTCATGGAAATTGAGAACTTCACAACCTAAAGTAGTAAAATAAGTATGGCATATTGCCTTTGACTAATATTATATTGACATGATGAACTTATACTGCAAGTCTCACATTGTGACTATTGCACAAGAACACAGTGCGATGGTAATGCTCTAATGATATTGTGGAGCCCTAAACTCAATTGAATTCTATGGTTCATCATAGAAAAATTTTCGGATTGGATTTATGCCCCCTGTCCCATTTTTGCACTGCATAGTAGTGATCCCCATCAAGTTGTTGGAAGTAACTAACTTCTACTATAAGTACACTTTAAACAAACTACTTTTTACTTTCACTTGAGTAGATTTTTAGATGGGTAGCTTTACTTGTACTTAAGTAGAATTTCATCAAAGTAAAGGTACTTTTACTTGAGTAGAATTCTTCAGTAGCTAATTTTTCCACCTCTGGATTATATACACTAAACAAAAATTCGCCGGTCACGTTGCCTTTTTGATTCCCTTTTGCGCTTTCTTAGCGACGATGATTCCGTCTCCTGTGATGCTGCATATGCATGATCCTGCATTATGCTCAAAGAGTGGGACGTTGTTTCAAATTTGCCGGGGCAGTACTGAAGCACCTCTTGCTCCTCTCCTTCGGCTTCTCAGTCACGCAGCGCTGGCCTGGCTCTCAACGAAAACGCCAAAGGCGGGGCTCAATGTCCCTTGCTGGCGGATGTATTCTCAAGATGGCGAAATGTTATGGAACCCCTCAGACGACTTACCCGCACAATGTACAAACAAATCCGAAATTCTCCTTTTACGAGAATAAGTCAGATTATTGGTGGAAATAATAATACACCAATGATGACATATTTATGAATGCAGACATTGATATCTGCCAATTAACAACTGAAAATGTTACACAATGTCCCTTTAACTTAACCCCCTGGAAAAATGGGAGCAAAAACACAAGTGTTGCATTTAATTTTTTGCTCAGTATGTAAACAAGACTCTAAGACTGTTCTTAGGGACAGCAGAGCCTTTAGCTTAACGTTAACACATTTTAATTTTAGTGTGGTAGCATTAGCATACTTACCCCATAACACCCTGCTCAACCATTTGGTAGAGCACATTCTGTGTCACTACATCTTCAAAAATGTGTTAAATTTAGCTCGACCAAACCAGCTCTACTGCTCTACTAGTCCTTTTGGTAAAGGTAGTGAACTAAGCTGATGTCATTAAAACTGACTATTTGCTAAAATCTTCCTATCATTCATAGCTGTTGAATGATACATTTAATGATATCCATAATATATACATATGCTGAAATAATTTCATGAGTATAATATTTTACTGTCTAAAGCCATGCTTAACCAGACGACTGAAGTGTCCTTTTATGGTAAATATAGTGACGCGAAGCTAATAAATTCACATTTTTTATAAGATTAAAAAAAGTTGAATATCCACTGTTGTTATTACCATACATTCAATGGTATTCCATTATACATTTAATGAAAAAAAAATTGTAGGCTATTAGTATGATTTTTCACCATTTCTGAGATGTTTTCAAAGTACTGTAATGGTAATAATAAAACTACAAAATCCATGGTATCCAATTGATATATGTTGGTATACTAACTTATTACAAGCATGATAACAATGTGTGATTTGTAATGTTGATTTTTTTTTACTGGTTTACTATTACCACGAAGGGCAATCTTAACCATTTGGTAGAGGCCTATATTTAAAAAAAACTATGGAGTCTGTTAAAAAAAAAGACACACACACACACACACACACACACACACACACACACACACACACACACACACACACACACACACAGCAGTGCAACAGTCAGGCTGTAGCTCCGATCGATGTCCAGCAGGGGAAGCTGGTTGACCACTTTTAGCTGTTGAACTGAAGAGTAGGATTGGGAGCAGCCAGCTATGATAACGTTAGCTAAAAGCCAGTCTGCGGCTTCTGTTCCTTAACAGCCGAGCTGCACCCATTAACAAGGCACCAGCGGTGCTTCCTTTGCTGTACTGGAGAACAGTGAGTATTTCTTCTTAAAACGAACATGTGGGGTTAGAATGAGGGAACACTTTTTGTTTGGAGACAGCAGTGTTGAGGCAGAGAGTCAGTCGGTTTGACTGGACCATTTTCACAGGATCTCTGTGTTGTTCCAGGATTTGCTTCACCAAAAATGAGGGCAAAGAACTAAGGCTGTGGCTCGAGCCAGTTAGGCTATTTATCTAGCTAGATGGCTCACTGGAAAGTTCAACAAAATCTCAATGAACCACGGCTGGCTTGTGTTTATGGAGCTTTTTTTGTTTGCGGTGGAATAAAAGCGCAAATATTTGTCATTAGGTTTACATTACCCCCACCTACGAAACGGTAGCTCAGTTAGCTAACGTAGCCGAAAAGCTACACCTATTTTAGCGCTGTCATGCTTTTTGTCCCCTGATTTTACATTGAATGCGGAGTGGGGCTAATAAATGTTGCAGTGTGAATGGTAGTGTGCCAGCTGTTAGCATCGTTTGAACCTTAGCAGCCAGTAGATAAAGACAGAGCTTAAAGTGCTGTGACCCTGAGTGTTTTAATGTCCCATAGCTCAGGTTATTATCGACACAACATGACGCTAATGTTGATACAAAAGCTGTCTATTCACGATGGCCCTTTATGTTGTTAAAGACAAGAGCTAATGACCGACAAAGACCTTTAAGGAAACTTTGTGGCGCCCTGGCACATCGGGTTGTATATAATCCGCAGGGTAGAACCATATTTTGGTAAAATCACAATTTGAGTTTAAGCCACTGATTCGTATTGTTTCAGCTACCAGAGCTCTGTGCTCTTACTTCGTTAGTATCTTTGTGTTGTGTTTGCAGTGCTAAATTGTGACACCTCCTCTCTGGAAGTTTTCCTAATGAGAGAGATCCATGTCAGTATTACCTGTGCTATTATCAAAGTAGGAGGCGTTTGTTTGTTTGGGACTGCAGCCCGTGCTGCCCTGTGCAGAGGAGTCTGTGTGTGTCTCTCAGCTGCTAATGAGAACCAGGCTAAAGGATGTGTATCTGCATGTCTGCATGTGTCAGTTTGCGGCAGGAAGAGTTCCTGATTTTTGAGGGTTTGGAGAGACCCAGCTAAAAAAAGAGGCCAGGAATGTGTTTTTTGCTCCTGCCAAGCTCGTCCAATGGGCCTCAGTAATGTAACAGTGTTGGAGGTCCACAGTGACATAGGTTTGGAATTTACACATGTGGACAGTTACAACATGCTGTGGGACTTTTGATGCTCTTTCATTGTCTTGCAAAGTAAATGAAGTGCACAATGTATACAATAGTCAGATGCCAGTGGGAAGTGGGATAAATACGCTTGCCACTTCTGCTTGCCATTTTAACAAGTATGAATCTACAGCTGGGCAATACATTGTTATAATACTGATACCACAATATGTAGTCAAGTTATTGTTTTTTTTTTTTTGCTGATATATCATATGCCTATATATAACATTTTAGTTGGCCAATAACCAATACCAATATTGATATATTCCTTTTCCCCGCCTAATTTAAGTCATCATCAAGTCTCTTCTGTAGTGGAATAAATATCATATTATGCATGCATACTCTTATCATGATAGCCCACCAGCAAATGGAGACATGAAATAGAAGGCTTTTCAGTGTATGTAATATTCATTCATTGTTGGCCAGTTCTGATAGTTCATTTTAAAGCTGACATTGGCTGATACCGATGACCTGCCAATGTTATTGTGCATTCCTGATAATATTTCAAAAAATATCTTCTTACAGTATCGATTAAGTATGTGATTTTTTGAAATACAGAAAATAGTTAAAATGAGCCCATGGTGAGCTATTTTAAATAGTTTATGGCTGAAAAACAGTCCAAAACCTAAACAAAGAGTTTACACCGATATAGAAAAGAGTAAAGCAGCAAAAGCTGTACATCTTTTAATCTGCTATTACTGCTTTTTTTTACTGCCTTTATTCATTTTATTTGAACAGTAGAGGATTTGTTTCTATGTCACTTATCCCTAGCTCAATAAATGACATAAACGAAAAAATCATTATCAAAATGATTGTAAATATTGTATTGTGAATAGATATCTGGGATTTGGTCAATGTATTATTGTGACATATATCTTAAATATCTTCTTACTTAAGATAACATTACAGTCAAGAGAAACAACAACTTTTAGCTGAGTGTAATGATCAAGGAATCATCATATACCAACACTGGTACTGATTTAGATAAAAATCTTTGAAAAGCACTGAAAGTCCCAGAATATTGTCACATCAGTAATTAAGTATTTGATTGAAAATTTTCATGTCCACTTTTGCATGAAAATCAACAGTATTTTTATCCTCTAATATTAACTATTTTGTTTCTATTTAAGTTTTGTAAGACGCAGTTTGCTCTCTGTGTCTCTCCTCAGGGGATTCATCCCTATTGGTCACAACAAAAGCACCTGTGAACTGGACCTCCACCTTTGTAGGGATTAAGAGCCACGGTGGACGGAAACGCTGCATTTAAGTTGTCACCATGTTCAATCTGATGAAAAAGGATAAGGAGAGAGAAGGGAGTAGGAAGGAGAAGAAGGATAAAAAGGAGAGGATGTCTGCAGCAGAGTTGCGCAGCCTGGAAGAGATGAGTATGCGGCGTGGTTTCTTCAACTTGAAGAGAGAGGCCAAGCGTGAGTCCAAGAACAAACTAGAGATCTCCAACCCCATTCCAATCAAAGTGGCCAGCAGCAACGAGCTCACCCTCACTGACATTGAATCAGATGGCCTGAGTAACCGAAGCAGCATGGTTTTGGATGACCAGCTGAGCGCTGCCAGCTCCACTGATGACCTGAAGGGTGAGGGCGGAGGAGGACAGGACGGACATCGCAGCTCAGTACGTGATCGCGTGGCTCACTTTGGTTCACTTGCCAAGACGAACTCCTCTCAGGTGGGTCAGATGATGAAACGCTTCTCCTTCTCCCAGAGGAGTAAAGAGGAGAGCCCCTCAGAGGGCTCCACCCCCTCGGGCCAGAACTCTGCTGCCCCGTCCCCACAAGTGGAGAGCAAAGTTTTCAGCATGCTTCGTAAGCACAGCCTAAGGCAGCAGCCTGAAGCAGCGCCAGCCACTAAAAAAGTCTACATTCCTGAAGTGGTCGAGAAGACCTTCCCTGCACAGCTGCAGCTGCCGGCTGTGGTCGCACCAAGTGAACCAGAAATACGTGAGCTGGAGCTCCAACGCCGCAACACTGGTGACTTTGGATTTTCTCTGCGTCGCACCACTATGCTGGACCGCAGTCCTGATGGAGGAGTGTACAGGCGTGTGGTCCACTTTGCTGAGCCTGGCGCTGGCACCAAGGACCTGGCGCTGGGACTAGTGCCTGGCGACAGACTGGTGGAGATAAATGGACGCAATGTGGAGAACAAGAGCCGGGACGAGATAGTGGAGATGATTCGTCAGTCGGGAGACACGGTGAGGCTGAAGGTGCAACCCATCCTGGAGCTGAGCGAGCTGAGCCGCTGCTGGCTGAGGAACACATCTGGACTGCGCAGGGAGGCCAGACATGTAAGCTGCTTGTCCACTTTCTATGTACAAAATATAAAGGTCCCGGTTACAGTCTTTGTCATGGTTTGCCTTTTTTAAGTGCCCAGGTTAAGAAACTTTTTTGCTGGATGCCCTCAAAGTCAAAGTGTCTCGCTGACTATATGTGCTTTATATTGATCTGAAAAGAAAGCTTCAAGACTCAGTGAATTAAAAGAGTAGCCTGGATTCATTAGTTTACACTCTTACCTCGGCTTTGCAAAGCATTTGTAAAGATTATGCTTTTCTCATCAAGATGACACACTTTTTCTCATTCCTGTAAATTCTTAATTTCTTTAATAGCCTAAAGTCCACCTGAAATGAAATTTCACTTGCTACATCCTACACATCTGCTCTGGAAATAACTGATCCCGTGTTTTTCTTTGAGCAGTCTCAGAAACTAAAAGGGAGAAATTTATATTTTAGAAAACTTTTATTTTATGTTGGCACCCCCTTTGTTTTGCATTCATTGGGTGGAACACCATTAGTTTTCAGTCCACGCAGATGGATTACTTAATGTAGGCCTAATTTTGATAGAGCCAATCAAATTTTGCATAAAACAGTGAGGTCAGCATTCTGTCACACTGTGTCACACTGAGCCAGACAGCATCAAGGCTGTGGGCTTCACATGCACACATGATGCCGTTTAACATGGACCTGCATTTGTATAGCGCCTTTCAAGTCATCTGACCACTCAAAGCCCTTTTTACACTACGAGTCACATTCACCCATTCACACACACACATTCATACACTGGTGGCCGAGGCTACCATACAAGGTGCCACTTGCTTCTCAGTTTTTAACACACTTTTAACCCACTCTACTTTTGAGCCACAGCCGCCCTTTGCTCCACTCAACATGCAAATGAAAATAGATGAAGAAAACAACTTGTAAAATGCCACATACAAACTATGATGCTCACAGTACTGTGTGAAAATGACCTCAGCAGAGCCAAATACCTAAGAGCAAGAGGTGACTTTAGTGTCAAAGAGGAAAAGTGTGTTGGTTATCTGGACCTATTTTGGGTTTAGAAGATGCTTGATGTTTAGAAGAGTGAGGTGTCTACCAGTGGCCAACTGCTAGCGGGCAGGGATCACTGATGTTCAGATGATTAGATGTTCAGAGGAGCAGAGCTGTAGTCAGGTGCACTTTAGTCTGTGTGATTTGTACCTGTAACTGACTGAAGATAAATATGATTCTGGTTTGCTTTTCATTTTAAGGTTCAAACCAGTCTTGTTGTTTTTCATAGCTTTTTTTTTTTTTTTTTTTCTTCCCCAAATTTCATTAAAAAGTCATGATGGTCATATTACATGTTTACAAGTCTAAAAGTTTTCACAATCTTCTATTGCAATCAAAGTTTTTTTAAAAAAAGTTCACTAGCTAATTGAAGATGTTTTAGTCATAACAATTCATCTATCAGTTTATCTCATTTCATTGTAACATGTGGGCCTGGCCTAAATGAGAGGGCAGTTGGTATGTTGACAGTATCCAGTGCTGTGTTGGTTACACCACAGAATGATTTATTATTTAAATAATATGGAAGAAAAGGACCGTAAAACAAGCGTGAATTTGCAGTAGCTGCAACCACATGCGTACTAGGGGTGTAAATTGCCAGTTTCATCACAATATGATATTATATCGATTTTTTTGGACAACGGTACGATATTTTCCGATATTATAAAGTCTGCCACGATATGATTTTAATTCGATATTAGGTGATATTAAATGCCCATTTAACACAATCTGTTATGGAAGATGCTGCTACCCCTCTCTTTTTTACTTTTGGCCATAAAACACATAAAAAACACAATAATGAGAACAGTAAAGTTCACATTAAACTGAATCCACTGACACAAATTAAAAGCAAATGGGAAAAGTTAACCATCAGGGCTTTCTGTCAGAGAGCCCTTTCTGGAAGAAATCTTTTCATATAACCCAAACCATCATCTCTTTCAGAAAACCTCAGTCATATCTGGCTTAAAGCAACTCTTACCTTTCTTACATTTCACACAGCACTTTTTTTGAGTTTTGAACATCCACAACTCCCGCCTCCCTCCAAAGTCCCATCCCCCTCCTCCTCCTCCTGCAACTCCACCTCCCTCCAACGGCCTACTCACCCCTCCTCCATTATGTCCTCATTACGTCTATGATAGACGTAGGTGTTGGCAAGGTAACGTTAAATACACGGAAGAGGACAGCGATTGTAACGTTACAAACGCAACCCCTGAGTTTTAAAACTCAGTCAGTGATGACTGATGAGTTTTAGAATAAGGTTACAGTTAACGTTAGATAGTAGTGTTAACGTTACTAGTAAGTGGAAACGCACAAGGAAGATAACGTTAATGTTTCAGAGGCTATGCTACAGTAGGCTAATGTTAGCCAATAGCAACTGGCGTGCGACATTTCGCATACCCCAAGCAAAAAGAAACAAAACATTTAAAAGCAATTTGTGCAACATGTGAGAAAGAACATATAGTGCAGTAGTAAGATGAAAAGGGTCAACATTTCACAGTCAAAAACTCCACATCCTGAGAGCAGAACTGGGAGATCCTCTTCACATCACAGCACCATGAATTGTTTGTGTATATTGGTGGAGCTTACCAGATAATGCAGCCTCCCCGTCTGCTCTATGTAGTGTTAGCCCCGTTAGCTACCATGTTACCATTCATCCATGTCTCAGTGAACACAAGGACGCAGCAGTCCCTCACGCCTCGGTGAGTGGATCTCCACAGTCGGATGTAATCCATTTTCGTGTCCAGCGAGTGGACGTTTGCCAGAAGGCCGCTGGGAACAGCTGGTTTGATGGGATTAGCTCTTAGCTCTTAGCCTAGAGCTAACCCCTCTGTGCTTCCTCTGCTCCCAGGCCAAGCAGGCCAAGCTTGCTACACATCCTGAGCTCTCTTGGTTGTAGTGTTAGATCTCTGCAGCGGTTTCTAATGTCTATTAGAAACTCGCAACTCTATTGCACTTAAGAATTTACTTATTGTTGCACCATGTTTATAGTTTATATCCACAAGAGTCCCTGTTACTAGCATATTTGTTGTCTCACAGACTCGGGGGCGGGGG